ATACAGTTATCTCATTCATTTTCACTTTTAAACTGTTAGTTAACTTAAGTGATTCACACTTTTTGATATTTGTCAGATACAATGACAGTGTGAGCAAGGGCCATACACCCCTCACATTCATTCAAACTTGTACATTTCTGTTGGTTACACTGATCCATCTCAGTAAGCAGGGCTTGGTAAACAGCCTTACCATTCTATTACTATATGTTTATGTGCATAACCTCCACTGAACTAAACTGGTGGAACTAAGCTGTAAGTGACAGTGACAAAGAATGTATACAATGTCCTATTGCTATGGGCACACATGAGCCGTTATGGCGCTAGTTGACTCTATTGTTGTAAGGTGTACACAGTTGGATGATTATAATATATGTATATTCATCTCAGCTCTCGCACATTGACCCTTTTTATTTTTAATGTGGTATCTTTCTTACCTTTAACCCCCAGAGGTTTTGTGTGACTGCATTGGTTGGGGGATACGTTCCCAATTTTTCCCATGTGGTTTTTCGGGTTTTCGTATCAGGCGGCGCACACCTTTTTCCATTGTACATTTTGATTTGTAGGTACCAGTAGTTTCTGTTGGCGGTCGTCTTGCTTTGGCCTCGGGTGGCGGGCGGCCCTTTCACTCGTTCCTTGCTCTGGGCTGTGGCGGGTGTGCCCTCACCTTTGCTGGGATAATGTTCTTGTGTATCTAGTTTTCCCAGCTTTATATGCTTTAATTTAATAAACGGCCACTCCCGTGGCCAAAATATCCCATAATGGGATTGTGATTATTTTGTGTCCCAGCAAACAGAGCTCACCCAAAGCGAGACTCCGCCAACATCAATAACTTTCGTAATATGTAAAGGAACATGAAGCATAAATGAGATTTATTTCTGAAAGAAATAAATGGTTTTATGCTTAATGTGACTGATCACTATTGTATTTGTCCAGCTACCAGCAAAGGAGGGTTTGCCGTCATCCGGGTGATTTGTCACGAAAGTGTCATTTATGTCACGGGTCATGTAAGTCACAGAAGCGAGGCACAAGGCCTCCTTCCTCGCATTACAAGACAGTCAGAAACATTTTTCCCTCCCTTCCCTCCCGTTAGCTTTATTTTACCCTAGGGAGTGGCGGGTGTGCCCTCACCTTTGCTGGGATAATGTTCTTGTGTATCTAGTTTTCCCAGCTTTATATGCTTTAATTTAATGAACGGCCACTCCCGTGGCCAAAATATCCCATAATGGGATTGTGATTATTTTGTGTCCCAGCAAACAGAGCTCACCCAAAGCGAGACTCCGCCAACATCAATAACTTTCGTAATATGTAAAGGAACATGAGGCATAAATGAGTGTAATAATAACAGTTAAAACCGTTAAAAAAACAATAAAAGACGTAAAAGAATAATCATGAAAAATAAGCACGATGGCAATTTTTGTGAAAAAAAATGTTTTTAAAACCCTCCTCATTTCACAATATTAAGTCATTTGATTCAATTCTAAAAAACTCAGTTGAAGTTAAAATGACATAAAACAAGAAGCTAAATATTTTGAAAATTAGAACTAAAGAGGTATCAGATTTAGAGGGAGACAACTCCAACCGGGGGATCCGAAGACTGTTTCAAAAACAAATAGAAGGTTAAAACAAAATTTTAAACGCGGAACTACCAGCTTCTTTTAGAGACGATTTTTTTTATTGCTCTCTTATATTTACAATTGGTACAATTCTCTCTGATGAACGCCGTGGTACCTCCTTTATGTAATTACCATTAAACCCAGTATTGCTTAACTCAAATTAACGTTTACACTGACGTAACTCGTCCCTGATGACTAGAAGAGACTTGGCACGAAACTTCGAGCTGTTTACTTTATAAACTGAATAATTTTCTTTCTTAAATTTTGCCTTTAAAAACACCTGTGTTGTCCAGTCAATAAAGAACAAGGCGAGCAATATGAAAATTACTATAAGTATTGGCTTCAAAATATAATTCTTACAATAACGTAAACAGGCAAAACTGCACTTGCAGTCATGTTAAGTACTCGATCTTCAGAAGATGATAACTGAACTACTTTATCAAAAATGATTAGCTAATCTTTTTCATGAATTAACTACGTACATCATCGAAAAATTCAGGGTACAAATTACATAAATGCAGTCGTTCAGGTCAAGCTAGCCCGCGTTGTAGCCGTCTCACGCGTCTCAAGTTTACCTGACACTGGGTAGAAATTGGAACAAATTAAATATTAGTCTTAATAGTAACCTGAGAATTTTCAGATATCCCATGTTTTAATTAGAGAACTACCAACTGTATGAGTTCGGCCGAAAACACGAGAAATTAAGATAAAAATTCTCTACTGATAAAGATAATAGCTGATAATAGTTATTTCGTGGAAATTTTAGAAGAAATTTCAGGCGAAGGCTGAAAAATCAAACCATGCAATACTCTTAAATTTACACAACATTTTGCTGAAAACCTTTATGAAGCATATTTTATGACAAGAAAGGTAACTGCGGAAGCTTATTAAAACAAACATTTGTTTTACATCGAATTCATGACAGGAAAAGGTATAGGTTAATTACTATTTTAATTCGGTGGCGAATCCTTGTAATACCTATGATCAGGGGCACCCAACGGCAATTTTCGGGAAAATATCTGTTCGGAAGACGATTTGAGATCTAGAATTTTCGGAGCATTTGTTGTAAAATTTCTTGCTTGCCTGCCTCTCCTAGGATTTCCGAACATCTACAAAATGGTATAATTACTCATTTTTAACGGATTTTGACCCTAAAAAAGGCCACCTAGAATTTTCGGGAGCCTTTTCCTGGCTGAAATTTTCGAGAAGGTAAGTTTTTATCCCTATAATTTTCGGATCACTAGATTTTCAGCTAGGAAATCCGAACAGATGAAAAGTTTTTAGGGGATAAAAATATGCCTATATCTACCGTTTGAATACTAAAATGCGTTCAACAATGCTATGTTAAGTGGTTTTGAACTATATCCTCGTTGGGTGCCCCTGTATGATTACTTCCCCCCCAAAAAACCGTCCCAGACACTAAGTTAATTAATCAAATAGTACGTGAACACTTAAGAGCGTCCCTTTAATTTTAATCATACCGGAAATGAGTTAGACATAAGTAAATTTAAACTAAAACTTTCATTGCTTGCATTTTTATTGTTGAACAAGAATCTTAAGGGGTAAATTGAGGTCCCTTCAACACCGCGGCAAAACGTCTACGCATGCGCCAAGTTGAGCATTTCCGGTCTCTTTTTCAGTCACACTTTCCAGTCAAAGTCTCCCGCGCGCTTCATTCTGTGTGCAGCTTGTGATTCAGTTGTTCTGCTTTATGCTGCTCGTGTTTTTGACTATTTTGTAGTTATTGAAATTGCTTTTATGGATAACCAGGCCCAGATCACTGAAACAATTAGTCGATTAGATTCAGAAAAGGTAAGATGATAATAACTCAGTGTGTAATTTTGGCTAGAGGGTCAGGTAAACTAATTGTGATTCACGAAAATAAAGTTTTTGACTGTTGTTTTTCACTTAACCTGGCTAAAACTAAGACATAAAATTAAAACGTTATCATTGCAAGCTTGTGTATTGTAGTTCTAATTTTCAGTTCTTCAGTTTCTCAGTCTACATGTGTTAAAGCCGATTCAAACTTTATTTGGAAAACGACAACACACAATCGCTTTGTAGTTTTGTTTACCAGTGGGTTTTACCGTGTTTTAAAACGAAACTCTTCTGGGTTGGTTGCCATGAAACATAAGCTTAATTATACTGTTGAGCCGATTGGCAGCAAGTTGACAACTCTATTTATTTATTTTTCCATTCTCAGAATCAGAGAGCGAAAGCTGGTTCAGTGGCTTTTAGAAGTCGAACTTTTCATGCCATGTATTTAGCAGCTAGAAGTTTCGTGTTTGCATGAGATGAAGCCGAGCCGCACAGTCTGAAATTATTGAAGTCTTCAACAAAAGAACAACCATGTAAAAGAATTAAATAGGCATTTTCTTGAATGAAAGCCATTTATAGGCATGTTTAGTTTCCCGGTGACTGCAGTCATCAAACTCAAAGTTGTTATTAAATCCCGCCTATCTTTTGTTTTGAGTTCTTGTTTTCTCTGATAATAAAACAAATTATTGAACGGACTAAAATTTATTTCCTGGTTTTAGTGTTTTTTATGATAATGATGACGTCTTTATTTTGGTTTCTTTCATAAGTATTGTTATTCTTTTCTTAGTTGTCGCCTTCTCCCAAATTAACTTATGCCAAACCAGTAGCATGCAAGAAAGCCAGTAAAAACAAATTCGTCTTGTCGAGCGCTCGCGACCTGCAAACTTCAAACATCATTTTCACCGTTGGTGCAAACAGATAACCATGTGGTGCAAAAGTTTGAGAATAGAAAATATATAAGCTTTCGAATGAAGTGATTTTTTTGGCCCCCTTTTTCGTCTGTTTCGCCCTTTTTGCTTTTAAACTTGGCGCGACGGCAAAGTTATGCTTACGCTATTGGTTTATATACTAGACCGGAAATAAAAAGCTGACCGGATATTAAATTTTGTGCTCATGCGCATTGCGTTTTGCCGCGGTGTTGGTCCCTTCGGGTTTTAGTTATATCACTTCTTAGCAACTGGTTTTTACAGGTTCGACGGTGCATTAGCCATTTTCGGGTAAAGAGGGTTTTCATATGACGTCATGTCGGCCAAATTTATGTGCCAAAACGGCGGCCGTATAGGTGTTCCAGTAAAAGCTTTCTTTTGTTCCACAGTGAAATTTGCATAGCTGTTGGCCAGCTGAGTGAAAATGCTCACCATAGCTTAATATCCGTAGAATCATATAGCAGAGACCGTTAAAGAAAGAACATTGTCGACGTATTACAGGTGTTAAAGAACTGTCGACCACTGGGGACAGTCCGTGGAAGCCAAGATGAATTTCAGTAATTCCTCAACCAACAAGGATGCTGCCGCTAGTTGTCGCCTGACGAAAAAGCGAGATAGCCTAGCTGCTCTGCCTGTTATCGCGATCAATCTAGGATCATGTCCCGTTATCATCTTCATGAACACGTTAGTTATCTTTGCGATAAAAACACGGCGGCCATTGCAGTCTAACTACAACATACTACTGGCCTGTTTGGCGGCAACAGACATGGTAGTCGGCTTGGTTTCACAACCACTATTCATCGCACAAGAAATTTATCTCTCAGGTGCATCGCTGGCGGATTATTGCGACTTTTACAAAACGGCAGTCTTCTTCTATATGTTTCCAAGTGTTGAATCGTTGCTGATGTTAGCTTTACTGAGTATCGAGCGTTATATAGCTATGAAATACTCACTTAGATATTCTAGCCTGGTGACCGCCCCTAGATTAACGATTGTTGTATTTTGTAGTTGGATTATTTCAGTTATTCCTGTAATTTTTCATCCAATACCAGCCACACATTTATTTGCCAAATGGTTTATTTATGTAACCGTCATGCCAACCATTCTAATTATCGTATACTGTCATACAACAGTATATTTTGTTTCACGCCGACATATGAAGCGGATAAAAACAGAACAGCTTCCAAGCGAAGGGAAGACTAAATTCTTAGAGGAAAGGAAAGCCTTTAAAACCACAAGTATAATTATCACCCTCGTGTTTCTTTCGTACGTGCCAATACTTACGTACGGGATATTGAAAGATATCTTGCGCGATATAGTTTTGTCTTGTGTTTTTCTAAACTCGCTTATTAATCCCTTTGTTTACTGCTGGAGAAAGAAAGATCTCCGTAAAGTTATAGTGGAACTGCTTAACATCAGACAAAATGGAGGGGGATAATCAAGAACAACGAAGACGCTTTTCAGCTGCACTGGCTGTCTACTTTTAATTTTGGAACATGTTAGACGCTTTTGGTAGTTAATTCTGCTTTTCATGTTCGTTTGTATTTGTTCTTAAGATCAGTGGCACCCAACGACTTAATTTAACTGCCAAGAAATTTCTAAAGCTCAAGAAAGGTTCGCCGTTTCGTTCGTCTAAGATGTTTGGAGGTGTTTACTACAGTTTTTCTCAGATTTTATTACCAAGACTATTGCGATTATTGTGGAAAAACTCCTCCTAAAAAATTTAACATGAAGACAAAACGTCCCCTAGAATTTTCAAACGAAAGTCAGATGGCTGATCCATGTCCTCTAACTTTCGACCGGACCCATCAGGTTACCTAACAGTTTCAGATGAGACGAAAATGCCACCTTAAACTTTGGAGACGGCCAAAGTTCACTTCCGAGCCAATAAATAATTCTTAGGGAAGCTCCAAATTAACCAAACTGACTTCTAAAGCGTAGAAAAACCATTTGGGACGCTACCGACGTATTTAGAAACATTCGGTCTTTGGGTTCCCCTGATATAATACTACTAAGAATATAATGGAGTGTCTGAATGGGAGTGACCAGAGTCAATTAAAAAAACACTATGTGTTAAAACACTTAATGTTTTGGCTCTGTAACATATATGAAATAGTTAAATTTTGCGCATTTTAACACTAACGGTAATAAAATTTCACTGAAACAGTATTTTTTTTAGAAAGCAGAGAAAGAATTAAACAAAAACGTTAGAAAGCAGAGAAAGAAATAAAAACGGCTCCTAAAAGGCCAATATTATTTTGTGTAGTATATCAAGGAGTTTTCGGCCATTTTCCAACAATTCCCGACAATTTCAGAAGATTTCCGAAGACTACGCAAGATTGCCGAACACGGTAGATGTCCGGAGACTGCCACAGCCCCTTTTAGCTTTTATTACCGATTTCCCAGGAGCAGCTGACAATGCTGAAATACTAGGGGCTTTTCACGAAAAACCCTCTAAACACTTAACATTATTTTCTCCGGGAACAGTAAACAACCAAAAAAACACGATAAAACGCTAAAAATTATAGGCAAATATCAGTTAACACTAAAGCCCATTCAGACCCTGAATATGATGTTGATTCAGCACATGAGACTGAATATGATGGTAAACACCTACTCTCCTCTCTTGATTTACAGCGATCAGTGTAACACTAACTTCGTAATCGATCTGAAATATAAGAAAAATTTCTGCTTCGTGTAAAAGGTATGCCCTACAAAATATCTAATTACCTTGGTTAGTTTCAAAACAGGTGGCTTTTTGGTGTGCTTTTCGTTTGTGGTTCGTGAAGTAGGAAACAAAGCCGCGCGAAAGCTGAACTGAGGACAAACGAGGAAACAGTGGAGAAGGGAGCGGGGGGGGAAAAGTAGAGATTGAGTCCGATCTTTAAACTTGGAGTCTCATTATTGCTTGGTGGAATAAATTAACGCCAATGATGTCACGGCGTACGTTCTTAAATACAAAATCATGCTACAACTGAAGGAAAAATCTTCACAAGCATGTGGAGGTTAGTGTTTAAAGAATATTGTACCTGTGCCTGCAAGTCACCACCTTAGTAGTATAGGGTGCACCGGTAAGCTCCATCTTTTAAGTTGGAATCTCATCATTGTTGGGTTGAAAAAATTAGTGCCATTTTCACGGCCTGTTTTCTTTGAATCAAAATCAAGCTAAAGCAGGATGAAAAGTCGTCACAAACATCTTTGGTGGTTAGCGTTCGTAGAATAGTTTGCCTGCGTCCTCCTTAATACTATTTGCACGGAAAGAAACACAACTGGCATAACTAGGTTGCCAGGTTGCTAGGTTGCCCATTTAGAGGGCCATGTGTTAGAAAACTCTTAACTGGGTTAATCATGTATATCTACCCTCTCAAAATAAAGAACATTGCCGGTCAACGACAAACGAGTTGAAGCGAACCTTATCCCTGAAATGAAGTATCCTACCTCACTCTGATGAGCCTGTCAAGGAACATTCCAGCTTTATAGGAGGAGTACCCGTTGCGTACTATACTACTCTCTTTCATCCTTAAAAGGAAACTTCAACAGCAAAGCTTTCTTTTTGTTTTTAATATTCAAGCTCAGCCTAGTGCTTAAGCATTTTGTTGACCGTGTGAAGCCGGAAACTGACGCCGCGTTGTCACAGGAAGCATTGGGTGAGAGGGTGAGAGTATCCAGATCACCGCTCACGCTCGGATTTCAGGATTAATCTTGCCGAAAACGCTAAACCTTATTAAAACAGGATGATGTGGGAGGAATGGCCACCACAGGCAGACGTAACCGTACGAGACAAGAATCGCTCAGAGAGAGTGCTCTATAGTTATGAATTATGAGTTTAGCATAACTGTCTAGGGTTTCTCTGTCTACAATTTGTTAGTGAAAAGCTCTCGGCGAAGAAGCAGCATGTGACTTGTTTGATATTCCATACCGATTCCACTTAAGACTGCATATGAAAACTTAGAAAACTTATGAAAATCATAAGAATGGGCCATATTCGCCTTGTAAGTTTATGTCATCGGTAACCCCTTATCTTGATTTCAGATTTTAGCATCGTGCAGCTACGACGATACAATAAAACTTTACAAAGAAGATGACGATGACTGGTAAGTTATTTCTTTACTGATAATATTTTGGAAAGATTAAATTGTCACAACGCGTACAGGATATGCTTATTTTTTGTCCGTTTTTTAACTGTTACCCGAGCATTATGCGTCTGGCAAGATAGGAAACATAGTGGCCACCCTGAAGACATGGCCAACTTAATGCCCTCTTGACAAAGTGACCGTTAAGCATAGGTGAAGACAATAAAAAAATAGCCTGTTCGGACCATGGGTTTGACAGTAATTATGGGAAATGTTTTTCGAGACTTTGGTAAGTGAGCACATAACAAAGGATGGCCTTGTAATACAGGCTTGACTGTATCTTCAATTCACTGAATTGTCCCAAAATTCTCAGCGGTTTAACTACAAATATATTTTTGAACATTTGACGTCATTTCCGTGATTCATAGGAGGGTTGTCAATAGAAAATTGTGGTCGGTTTCTTGTTAGTTAAGCATGTGGTCTGAGGTTTGATAATACTGACGATGATAACTACGAGGGTATAGTAAAGAGCATTGATAACGTTACGTTGTGTGTTCTTTTAATTTGCAGGTCTTGTTTTGATACTTTAGAAGGTCACGAGTCTACAGTGTGGGCTATTAGTTTTGACAAAACTGGTGACAGAATGGGTTGGTACCACTGAGGTTTCTGTTAGTTATCACAGTCGCACGTTTTGATATGTGTAATACTGCCTTAGAATTGCTGTGATTACATTTATTTCCACAGTTTTTTTAAAGGATATAAACAACAGCTTTTGACAGAAATCTTTTAACAAACAACAGCTGTCACTCAATCTACCTTTGGGGTTCTTCATGTAAATTTTCATATTGTTTTTAAGTTAAACATCGTTATAAGTCAGTTCTCTTGAAAAAAGAGTACACGTTTAAGCTTTTAGACTCTTTTTTCTCGCACTTAACCCAAATCAGATGTGGTCCAACGCCTTAACTATCGTTTTTGTTATTGTCAGATGCAACTAGGAAGTCTAAAAATACTTATAAAAGGGAATCACGTCCTTAGGTGAAAATTCTTTCAATGTTATATTAAGGACAAATATATTATATTTCAACATCCATTTCTTCACCGCTCATTTATTGTAACAATCTGACCAGGAAGTGGCCAGATAAGCTGGATAGGATCCGCATTTCAACCATTTTGGTTTATTTCCTTTTCCTGTATTTTTTTTTTCAGTTTCGTGTAGCGATGACAAAACTCTAAGAATATGGCAGTGTTATGAACCTGGAAATGAAGAAGGTATTTGTTTAACTCTATTACAGGGCGTGGTTGCATTGAGTGCATAAGTGCGAATATACTTCAACCGTTACCGCCTTTTCTGCAGAAGAATTCGTCGTGCTCTCCGACTCTTGCGTTCAATTCCCTATACTATCTTATCCGCCATCGGCCTTGTTATCCGTGATACCGAGCGAAAAATCTTTCGGAACAAAGGAAATGCAGCCGCAGCAAGTTGCGTTGTGCACAACAAACCCTTCGTAGCCAAAACAGAGTGTTTACCATTCACTTCCGCAAAAGAGCTACGATGTTAAGTTCTATGAATTTACTTCCCTCTTTCCTAGCCATATGCCCCATTACCTTTACCACTAACGATGGCATTTTTTTTGCCTGTGTTTACGTTAAATGAAGGTGTGCCAACCCACGGAAGTGATCCGAAATGGAAGACAGTATGCGTCTTATCTGGCTATCACGACCGAACCGTTTATGATGTTCACTGGTGAGTTGTAATCAAACGTACTTTTCATATTCTTTATTCAGTCTGTGGCCCGCTGTTCTGTTCACCTCATGGTTGCAACCAAAAAACTATTGTTTCCACGGTTCAGATTTACTTTGTTTTGCGTTGACAACTGCGATGTAAAATGACGAAGTTTTAGGTTCTTTAGATAGAGGAGGTGAACGGCAAGACGATATAAATATTCCGACGTTGTTCCCTCTCTTAAGCTCCAACTTACTTTCCCAACTATTGAGTAACTGGACGAGTTGAAATAATCACGAACAAGCTTAGAGGGATACGAAGCCAGTTTCCAATGACATTGTTACCAGCGTTACCGTTGTGCGGTATCGTAAGGTCCCTACCATTTAAAGAGTGACGAGTGAATGGCAGATTATGAAGACGTGTGAGGGTGTGGATGTGGAGAAAACGAGAGAATCCTTCACTTCTTCAAAACTTCACCATGTTTTCAAAAGCAAAGGCTTA